TTTATTATTAATGATTAATTTTATTAATTAATGCTAATTATTTATTCAATAATTAGTTTTTTACTGTGTTTTGTTCCCGTAAATCGACAAAATCAAAAAAAGCATGATACAAGAATGGTGAACTTTCGACCCCGGACCCCCCCGTTGAAAAATTCCTGTGTGCGCCACTGGACACAAGCACAAGAAAAAGTTCATGATATTTGTCTATTATCCAAGGACAATAAAGCTACAATAATTTGAACATACTATGACAATTTTGCCTGAAAGTATCATTCCTATAATATTACCGAAAAGTGTATGGGATTTGTTTCCTTTATTAAAATCACGCACGTTTGAAATATTTTAGTTCAGTTTAATTGGATTTCTTTCTCGAATTGTGAAATAAAATTTGAAAAGTCCTTAAAGCTAGATAAGTATACTTTCTCTCAGATTATTCAGTGGGATCACGATTTTTATCGTGTGCAATAAAAATAATTATAAAAAAAAGGATTGGGAGGCGTGACTCAGTCACCCCGCGCGACCACCCACTAACGTTACTATCGAATGCACAACTGGTCCCAGGTGAAAAGACACAAGGGGAAAAAAAGGTAATTTGTTCGAGAATGTGTGGGAAACATGTAGAAACGGAAACGAATAGGCACTGGCCATTTCGTTTTTCAAACCATGATGTGGTTCTAAAATACCTTAAATCAACCAGTGGGAATCAGCTATGCACTGAGGCTTAAAGAAGACATACATCACTGAATTTCTTCCTCAATCGACTCTGACATAAACAAACTGAATTCCCATCTCTATTTCTCATTTTAAAAAAAATACCTAGGGAAATGTTTGTCTTTTACGCCTGTTCTTTTCAAAACAATTGAGCTGGCGTCAAATTAAAAACAAACGGGCTAGCATCGAAACAGTTCCCCCCCATCTGCTTCCCACGGTTGAACCGTATAATGAGATGTTAAATATTTTTTTTTTTTTTTATAAAATCAAAGGAAGGACTCACACGACTCTTCAATTCAGTTAAGTTTATAAAATTTTAAAATAGACTTCCCTTGCTTAAATTTAGGAGATGATTTATAGCTGAGGTAAAAGGACATTTATTTTTGAAAAAATTACTGTAAAATATAGAGAACGTTTAAAATTTTCTGAACTATTTCGATAAAGCATAAAAAAAAAAAAAAAATGTAAATATTTTAAGCGAAAAAATTCAGGAAAATCTTAAAATTCTAAATTCAAGTTATGGGGTTTTTTTATTTTAAAAACAATTTTCTTTTAAAACTGTGGACATGAACAAGCTGAAGATCGAAGCATACGTTTTAGAGCTTGCTCTCTAAGGAGAAATATTTTTATTCTATGATTAAAAAGCTTTCGTGGAAATACATGGTAAAAGAAAGCAACATTATCAACTGGAAATGAAAACAATCATCTATCTCTACTTCTACATGGAAAGAAGACTCCAAATGAATACTTAAAAAAGGTACGCATTGTTTCTTTAAGTCCCTATAGAAAAATCAATCATAACAAGAGAAAATCTGACGAAGCAAAAATCAATTGCAAAAGCATCTGTAGAAACAAATAAAATTAAATATCAAGATGTGTGTACAGAGTAATAAAGTAAGAAATGACATTTAGCTCAGCACTTGGTGAACTTCAATGCCCGATCGTATCGTATCGCATCGTGCATTCGCGCTAGAGGGGGTTCAACAGGGTATTAAGTCCTCTGTTCCTTTGCCTTTTTCTCTGAAATATAAATGATCCTTTTTCTTTAATTTTCTAATCATTTACTTACAGTAGCGCACACAGGAATTTTCAGGGGGAATGGGGGGGGGTCGAAAGTACATCATTCTTGTATCATGCTCCTTTTGATTTTGTCGATTTTCGGGAACAAAACACAGTAAAAAACTAATTATTGAATAAATAATTAGCATTAATTAATAAAATTAATCATTAATAACAAATAATTAAATTTTGCGTACTATAAACTTAGAACTATAATCAATCGGAAAAAATCAAGGGCTTTGGGGGGGCGGACCATACACAAATGAAACTATGATAGTAATTATTGCACTAAGATTAAATATCTTATAAATAAAATAAATTTATATCCACATTTCAGATGAAAATATAAAAAAATTTTATTCCGCTCACTCGGTTACTTTCTACTGTCTGGTTTTACAACTCTGAAGCAACACATTAAATCCATCATCGAATTCTTTCATTTCCATATGCAACAGGGGAAAGGACTACTAATCTGAACTTAACAATATATAGACATAAATCATTTCTGACAAATAGAATTAAATACACTGCTCTCAACGAAGCTCTCATTGAAAGAGGAATAACATACTCAAGTTCATCTGCCTTCCTTCATCCATCATTACTTGTTGCTATAACATATGTAGAATTACAAATGCAGTAACAAATCGTTTCCAAAAAATCACTTTTCCGATTCTGTAACACTCTTTATTTTCTCACTCTATTTTGAGTAAAACATCTGCTTTTAAAGATTTCTTATCGTGGGAATCAAGATGTAAAGTTCATGGACAAATTTTAACCGTTTGAAAACAGTGATAGACGATTTTTTAAGAGTAAAATAAGAACTAAGTTATTGATAACATTTTATCACTTTTTGCGTACACGTGTCGGGGCCCCTGTAGCTTGTGGGCCCCTTATCATTGATACGGCCCCCTTGCATTGTATTAAAATTTTCAATTCTAACAAAAAGAATTGATATCAATAAAATGCTTAAAAAAATATTTGAATTAAATGTATAAAAATCTCCCTAATTGCATTGTCATTTCAATAAACACTATGCAAAATTTAAATCTATAAAATCATAATTTTTCTATAAAGTATTATGAATATTTGCATCAATTTTATTTTTGGCTAGAAAGAGAAAAAGATTATAGAAATTTAAAATAAAGAACTTTAAAAGTTTTGTGGTCTGTATTTGCAGAATTTCATGGGATTCAGTTTATAATTGAAATATTTTATTTTAGAATTTTTAATAACTTTAGAGATTTCTTTTTAAGCAAAATAATTTTAAAAAACTGCATTTAGCTGACACAAGCCTTTCACTCAGTCACGTATTCGTGAACATCTTAATTAGAATGATTTACCTTTTCCTTGATTCACACTTATGTTTTTGTCTTTGCAGTACCATCAAAATTGTGTATTTCTTTATGCTTCTTTTTATGTACGTGATTAAAATAAGAGTTCCTTATGTATTGATTTTTCCCAAATCTTAGCTTTGAAAATGTCTTGCTGTGTTTTAGGTAAACTGGTTTTTCCACTATATATTTTCTTTGGCATGAATTGCAGCGGGGTGGGGGTGACAATAATATTAAGGTATCCGACTACGTTCGGAACCGTGATTTTAAAAAAGCGCATAAATGGATAATTTTCATGATATATAGTGTCACCTAGATTCGAATACATGTATAAAATTGTTTTAAAGACATTTTGACAAAAAAAAATTATTTTAATACAATACAATATTTTGGCAAAAAATTAAGTTTTGAATAACCTTTTTTTTCAAAATGTTCTCATTTTATAAAAAATGCTTCTAAAATAATAATATTTCGCTTATATAAAGTAAAGACTTCTCTCCAGAGAGTCTGAAATATTTTTTTTTTGAAAAATTCACATCATTTTCAGAGTTAGAACCAATTGAAATAATTATCAGTGTTTTTTTCTTAAAATTTCTTTCCTTTGTTGTAGTAAAATATGGATAAGTTTCAAACGGATAAGTTATAAGTTTCAAAAATTCTAGTTGAGCCTCTGTACAGTGGTCTAAGTTATATACAGGCAAAATATTATTATATTAGAAGCATTTTTCGTAAAAGGAGTTTTTGAAAATTGGTCTTTCTATGTTCATTTTTTTTGTCAAAATATTGTACTTAAATAATTTTTTATTGTAATATTATTCTTAAAACAATTTTATATACATTTTCTAATCTAAGCGACACTAAATATCATAAATATTATCCATTTATACGCTCTTGCAAAATCACGGTTCCGAACGTAGTCGGATACTTTAATGTTCATTGTTGTAGTTCTTAAATTATGATTTTTATCTCGATGAGTATTTATTAGTTCTTCGGAGTAATATGCATCATTATTTTTAAGTAAGTGTGATAATAATAATAATAATAAATATTTGCATAACTCTCTGTTTTCTTTATATAAATGCGGATTCAGTTCTGATGTTTTATCCTCCTGTTTCTAAGAAGAGTAGTGGCAAAACACACAGAATTGAATAGGGACTCACAAAAGTTCAAAAAATGACCCTGGAATTATAGCACGACAATTAACAGTTAATTGGCGTTGAGATTTAACTCATCAGATAAGAACTCTCTCAGGTGACAATTTTTGTCGAATAACAGGATCACAAGATGGAAATCTCCCAAAGCTACAAACTCAATAACCTTTTTTACAACAGACACGATACGCTATTAGAAAAACTTCGTATCTTATCTCTTGAGGGAATAGAGTTGTGACCTTATGATCTAATCGACGACAGAAGGCAGAGTTACGGCAAGAACACCATAACAAGTTAGATAAAAATAAATGTTAACAAAGAATTCGCTTCAGCAATAACACTGAATGACGAAGAGGGGATGAGTGGTCGAAACCCTTTATGGGCCCCTCAACCTTAAAAATGGACTACCGTTATGAAGGAACTGTTGCCAAGTTTTGAATTCTGTTTCAATATAGATTAGGCACTTGAAATTGACTTCTTTTTCAATTCCTACTATTAGTTCACATTCTCCCAAAATATTTATTTATATATCTTGTTCACAGATTTTCAATCGTTAATAAAATACTCTTTCTGTTCATCCCTTCAAATTCAAATACATTTTTTAAAACTTGTAGTGTATGACACTTGATGTTAATACAGTTTTTTCAAACATTAATTCATTAATTAAATTTAAAAAATGAATAAATAATAACAAACAAAAGTAATAGTCCAACAGCATATATAGAAAGAAAAATTGTTCTTTGTGACCTTGTAGCGCACTGGATAGCGCGCGCGCGTTGGACTTCTTATCCAAAGGCTATGCGTTCGAATCCCACCTTAAATAGCCGTATTTCTGAGAATGTGATTTACTTTTTTACTATACTATTTTATTGGAATAATCAAATTTAATTAATGAAGAAATAGTAACAAACAAAAACAAAAAAATTGCCCAACATCCTATATAGAAAGGAAAATGGAAAATTGCAAGGGAAATCGCTCTCTATTGTGTCACTTAATATTGTGATTCTGTCGTATGCATATACATAGCTATATTAATTGTAACTATTTAATAAAAAGTAACTAAAAGAAAATGTTTCTTCGTAGACCTAAATAAGAAAAATTACTTAATTCTTTTTATATTACTTGTTTCATTTCTTTTCCTTCCTTTTATTATTATTATTATTATGGTAGAAGACCCTTATATAGAGAGGACGAGATGGATGAAGTCATGTTATTTCTTGGTTTATCTAGTTTTCTTGCAAGTGGCAAACTTTTATGTCAAGTTGATACATGAAGGAATAAGCTATTTTGCCTAAAAGGCGAACAAAATGAACTGATCCTGTGCACTTACCTCACAGCGTACAAAGAAACTTATAAGTTTGTATTTGACTCCAATGTAAAAAATATTGTGAAATCTGTGCTATGTTTTTTTATTTGCCTTTAATTACAATGAATAAAAAAAAACAATTTTTTTTCCTGAAACGTTTTTAATGCCATACAGCTTTAGTTGAATTTTGGGCATACTCCCATTTTTGTATAAAGATGACTATTTTTAAAGTTTTTGTCTTCTAAAACAGAGTTCCCTAACCTTTTTATCGCCGCGGGCCGGTCAACGTTTGTTAATTTTACCGCGGCCCGCTGAGGGGGAGGATGTTGATTGTTTATATTTTAGACTGTTTTGATTTAATAATTTTAATTTAATTGTATTTAATCGTGACTTCAGAATAAAATATAGCTACACCAAAAATGAATATAAAGTGATTTAATCTGAAATATAATGCGATTTCCATAAAAAGTAGCCCAAACCTAAGAAAAATATACCACTGTAATTAAAAGAGAAATAATTTAATGTTTCTTGTGTTTACCGGTAGTATTTGATCCATTTGGAGACCACTGTTCTAAAATATATCCAGCATCAAAAAGAAAATAGATCGTTTTATAAGCGGATTCTGATTTTGCTTTTTATTTATTTTGCGTAGCATATCGAAGATCATTCTATGATTATCTTAGGAAGAGAATGCTCAGGAATAGTTTTAAAAACAGGAAAAAATGTGACATGTGTGACGAAAGGTGATGAAGTAAGTGAAGTGAAATAATATTTAATTTGTTACTAATCTGATGAAGCAAAGAAATTGATATTAATTAATTCAAAAAGATTGTTTATTAAAACTATTTAAAAACTATTATTAATTAAACTATTAAAAGATTATTATTAATTAAGTTACTAAAAATTGTTATTAATTAAATTATTGAAAAATAATTAATAATTAACTGATTAAGAATTGTTATCAATTAAAGTATTAAAAATTATTTTTATTAAATTATTAAAAAATATTATCAATTAAAAATTATTATTAATTAAATTATTAAAAATTACTATTAAATAAATTAATTATAATTAAAAATTTATTTAATTATTAATACAATTTATGAATCGATTGCCTGCAGGTTTGGGCAGTTTCTGCATATTGCTTGGAAGGTCTCATGGCAGAATATGTAGTCGTCAAAGATACTCAAGTAGCCTTAAAGCCTCAAAATTTAACGTTTGAGGAAGCTGCAAGTTTGCCGTATACTTCAATTCAAGTTTGCAATGCTTTGTTAAATCAAGCTAGCCTTAATTCAAAATCAGCTAAAGGTAAAAGGTATATAAAGTGCATTTATTATGAATACAAATTAGAAAGTTGGATAAAAAAATAGTCTTTTTTTTTTTCTCTTTAATCGTGTCGTTCTTTGTGTTAAAGCATTGAAAGCACAAGCACCAAAGCACTGAAAAACACACATTCTGTAAAACTTCAAATAGAAAGATGTAAATCATTGTAGGCAATTTTTATGCGTACGGTGTTCAATAAAAAAAATAATTATTATTCTGCTCGTACAGATAAATTGAAACAATATTCTGTTCGTACAGATAAATTGAAACACAAAATCACCTCTTTTCTTAGGATTATTGGTTAATAAGTGAATTGACAAAATAAAAGTTAAATGCCAACAAGTCTTTCAGATTTTGATAAATATCCTATGAAATCATAATTAATGAAACTTGATTTTGAATGATGTTTTGTAAACATAATTTAACTATTTTCTATGTGAATTTTTAAGAGTTTTATTTGAAACAATAACAAAAGTGAAAAAATGCGTTTTTATTTACGTGTTGTAAATTTTTTATATAGGTTTTTTTTAAAAATATATTTTATAATGAATTATTGGTGTCGTAATTCTGAAATGTTAAATAATAAGGAAGGCTTTGTGTAGTCGGTTGTTCACTGCTGGATTAACCACATCACGCTAAGAGAGGATTTGTACCTCAGTTTGCTTTAATGTACCGCAACCTTCATTATTCCACATAATAATCAATGATGTTCTATTCGTAATACCTCAACTCTTTGCTAAGCTATGTAATTTCATATATTATAGATTAAAATTAATTATTGCTTAGTCATTGCAGTAAAGTGATGCGTTTAAATTTTTAATCATTACATTATTTATCAATTTTATAATCGGAAGTTGATTCTTTGTTAGAAATTTTATTTCACTATTATTTATATGTAAGTTAAATTGTATTGTATCGGAATGTTTTTTTCACATTTGAATAATACTATAAGAAACCTTTAACAATTAGCTAGCACTTTCAACGTACTTTAGTTGCTAATTTAATGATTTGGTTGAAAAAATTCGAATAATTTAGTTCGTTTCTATGTTTACTTTTTTGGTTCATATAGATTTATTTTAATGAAATAAACAGTAACCGTGTTAAATATAGATATGTGAATAAGTTCTAGCTTTACAAAGTATTTGTTTTTTTATTTATTTATTTTTTACTATCATTTATTAGATTATAAACTCCTTTTACCACGAAATTATTTAGCTGGAGTTATTTTAACTTTCATTTTTATTAAAGTCATCCTTTAAAGCTATTTATCGGAGACACGGCCCTTATAATTCTTAACCTCAGTCAAGTACCGAGGATGATACCTGAGCTGGGATTTCCTCTAACGTCTGAGCTCAAGCTCACGACATTTTCGAAATGACTTTGGATAAGTTTTAACTGTATCAGTCCCTCTACATGGAGGGTCTTCAGTCACACTATGATTCGAATCTGTGACTCGACAACCACTGCCTCGAGTTCGCAACCATGACCATTCGGCTTCTATGGCCACAAAATGTTATTTGAAAATGCACTAAATAGTAATGGCTTGTACTAAAGATATATGGCCACGGGTTCAAGACTCGGATATCTCGTATAAAAATGTGGAAATCCATAGACACAGAGGATTATTTAGAATCTAGTTTTTCAGAGATATAGAAGGAAGTTCAAACATTCAAAAGAAGTTACTCAACAATGATTCTGCGATATTAAAATATATATTTGATTATTAGAACATATTATTATATTATCGAATTATATTATGTCAAAAAGATACGACTAATACACGACCAATGGCGCACACAAGAGGGGAGGGGTCCAGGATCCAGACCTCCCCCCCATCACTTGTTTTTCGATTGATTATAATCCTATGAATATAGTACGTAAAATTTAATTAAGTATTTGTTATTAATAATTAATTTTATTAATTAATGCTAATTAGTTATTCACTAATGAATTTTTTACTATTTTTTATTCCCGAAAATCCGCAAAATCAAAAGAATATACTGGGTGGTGTATTGGAGCATGATACGAGAACGGTGGACTTTCGACCTTGGATGCCCACCCCTTCTCCTTGAAAAATTCCTGTATGCGCCACTGTTCAGGACCGATCCTAGGGTGCCGGCCGCCCTCGTACGAAGACCTAATGTGCCGCCCCTCAAGGCCTAGTGTTCAAGGTAACGGACTTGCGGCCAGCATGTCATGAGTTCGAGCCTAGTGCCGCTGAAGACCCACCGCGTAGAGGGGCTGATACACGTTAAATCTGTCGGGGCTCAAATGTCCTCCAGTTGGTATGGTGTGGAAATTAGGAGAGGGGGGGAATTGGTGGACTTTTGACCCTGGAACCCGACCCCCTGAAAAATTCCTGTATGCGCCACTGCGCATGACTGTTATTTCCAAAGCGATCAAAATAAGTCTGAGGTTCAATAAATCTAGCTATAAAAGCACACACACAGAAATGAGATCTGTCAGATTTGATTTCAAAAACCAACTGTTTGCATTATTTTTCTTTAGGATTCTGTTAATCACAGGAAACTCCCCCGTTGGTCTTTTTGCAATGCAGTTATTAAAATCTTGGGGAGGAGTTGTTACGACAGCTGTACCGACTGCTGGTCTTCCAATGTGCCATGAACTCGGAGCTGACGATGTTATTGTATATTCCGTAACGGATTTCGAAACTGAATTGCGGAACAGAAAAAGGTAAGGTTTTCGTTTTTATTTATATATATAGATTTTAATATTAATCTCATTCCTTTTTAACTCTAAAAATAAATCTTTTTTACTCTTTGTTGCGATACAATTCAAATTTTAATGAAGCAAATAAAATTGTCTTGAAGTGACAAGAAATTACGCAGAAATATTTTTATTACATTTTCTTTTGTGTATTCTCATTTCAAAGGTATCTGAATACGTTGGAGTACGGTCTATTTTGGCCAAATATCACAATTTTGTTTTATGTCATTTTTTAATGAGATTTTTTTTTCTTGATAAATTTTATGTTTCTATTATTATTTTAAATGGGTTTCACAAAAAAGAAAAGAAAAAGAAAGAAAAGAAACAGGAAAAGGCATATAAGTTATAAGAAGTTGACCTTTAAATTCCCTTTAAATTATCGAATTATCGCAAATGCATTGAAAATATAAAACTTTTCTTAAAATTTATTATTTACTTTTTCTCATGAGTGTAAAAAGGAAAATATTA